AATGATCATAATAAAAGGTACACTGTGGAACTTTTCTTACAGGATCCACCGCCTGTTTGTCTCTGTCTTTAATCCTGGTTCAGTCCTGATTTAGACCTGGTTTAGTTCTTGTTTACTCCTGGTTTAGTTCTGGTTTAGTTCGGGTTTAGTTCTGGTTTAGTCCTGATTTAGACCTGGTTTAGTTTTGGTTTAGTCCTGGTTTAGACCTGGTTTAGTCCTGGTTTAGTTCTGGTTTAGTCCTTATTTAGACCTGGTTTAGATCTGGTTCAGTCCCGGTTTAGTCCTGGTTTAGTCCTAGTTCAGTCCTGTTTTAATCCTGGTTTAGACCTAGTTTAGACCTGGTTTAGTCCAGGTTTAGACTTGGTTTAGATCTGGTTTAGTCCTGTTTTAGTCCTGGTTTAATCCTGGTTTAGTCTTGGTTCAGTCCTTGTTTAATCCTGGTTTAGTCCTGGTTAACTCCTCTTTTAGTCCTGTTTTAGACCAGTTTTACACCTGGTTTGGTCCTGGTTTAATTCTGGTTCAGTCCTTATTTAGACCTGGTTTAGACCTGGTTCAGTCCTGGTTTAGTCCTGATTTATTTCTGGTTTAGTCCTGGTTTAGTGCTGGTTTAGTCCCGGTTCTTTCCTAGTTTAGTCCTGGTCTAAACCTGTTTTAGTCCTGTTTTAGACCTGGTTTAGTCCTGGTTTAGTCCTGTTTTAGTCCTGGTTTAGTCCTGGTTTAGTCCTGTTTTTAGACCTGTTTTAGTCCTGGTTTAGTCCTGATTTAGTCCTGATTTATTTCTGGTTTAGTCCTGGTTTAGTGCTAGTTTAGTCCCGGTTCTTTCCTAGTTTAGTCCTGGTCTAAACCTGTTTTAGTCCTGTTTTAGTCCTGTTTTAGACCTGGTTTAGTCCTGGTTTAGACCTGGTTTAGTCCTGGTTTAGACCTGGTTTAGTCCTGTTTTAGTCCTGGTTTAGTCCTGTTTAGTCCTGTTTTAGTCCTGGTTTAGTCCTGGTTTAGTCCTGTTTAGTTGGTTTAGTCCTGGTTTAGACCTGGTTTAGTCCTGGTTTGGTCCTTGTGTTTTTTTTCTTCTGACTCGGTGTTGTGTCTGTTGTAAATCTTTATGGTTTTATTTTTCTTGATGTGAATTATTAATATTGGAGTTTGTTCTTTTTCTCCTGCTCTACTTGGCGTTGCAACACTGGAATTCCCCAAGTTTATTTTGAAGTAACGTTATTTTTACTTGAGTACAATTTTCGCTACTTTACACTACACCATTTACAAACAAAATCCTTCGTGTTTTTCTTTGTTTTTTCTCAGCCGTGTTTGTTTTGATACCGACAGATGATGCTTGTCTCTGATTGGCTGCTCCACCTGTCAATCACGCCCCTCTACACGCCGCCCACTACATAACAAAACAAAGTACTCACACTTTAAGTACATTTAATTCAGCTTTTATTTATTTTTGACAGACTTTTTATACATTTACAAAAAAAAAAATCTCTGTATAAAAAATCAGACTGAGCATGTTTGTTTATATTTGTATCTGTAAGTGAATATAAATATGTATAAAACTGAAAATATTTAAATAAAGTCTTAAGAAAACTAAAAATCTGTGCATATCAGATTTGATTTCAGCTACAAGATAAAAAATAAAATAAAATAAAATAAATAGGAACAGAAATAGACTGATATAAAAAAAATAATAATAATTCACAATAAAAAAAGCTTTTTCTGCTGCTGGTTTAATACTGGTTTAATCCTGGTTTAGTCCTGGTTCAGTCCTGGTTTAATCCTGGTTTAGTCCTGGCTTAGTCTCTGTTTAGTCCTGGTTCAGTCCTCGTTTAGTCCTCGTTTAGTCCTGGTTCAGTCCTGGTTTATTCCTGGTTTATTCCTGGTTTAGTCCTGGTTTAGTCCTGGTTTAGTCTCTGGTTTAGTCCTGGTTTATTCCTGGTTTATTCCTGGTTTAGTCCCCGTTTAGTCCTGGTTTAGTCCTGGTTTAGTCCTGGTTTAGTCCTCGGTTTAGTTCTTGTTTAATCCTGGTTTAGTCCTGGCTTAGTCTCTGTTTAGTCCTGGTTCAGTCCTCGTTTAGTCCTCGTTTAGTCCTGGTTCAGTCCTGGTTCAGTCCTGGTTTAGTCCTGGTTTAGTCCTGGTTTATTCCTGGTTTAGTCCTGGTTTAGTCTCTGGTTTAGTCCTGGTTTATTCCTGGTTTAGTCCTGGTTTATTCCTGGTTTAGTCCTGGTTTAGTCTCTGGTTTAGTCCTGGTTTATTCTTGGTTTAGTCCTGTTTTAGTCCTGGTTTAGTCTCTGGTTTAGTCCTGGTTTATTCCTGGTTTAGTCCTCGTTTAGTCCTGGTTCAGTCCTCGTTTAGTCTCTGGTTTAGTCCTGGTTCAGTCCTGGTTTAGTCCTGGTTTTGTCCTGGTTCAGTCCTCGTTTAGTCTCTGGTTTAGTCCTGGTTTAGTCTCTGGTTTAGTCCTGGTTTATTCCTGGTTTAGTCCTCGTTTAGTCCTGGTTCAGTCCTCGTTTAGTCTCTGGTTTAGTCCTGGTTTAGTCCTGGTTCAGTCCTGGTTTAGTCCTGGTTTTGTCCTGGTTCAGTCCTCGTTTAGTCCTGGTTTAGTCCTGGTTTAGTCTCTGGTTTAGTCCTGGTTTAGTCCTGGTTTAGTCCTGGTTTAGTCCTGGTTTAGTCCTGGTTTAGTCCTGGTTTAGTCCTGGTTTAGTCTCTGGTTTAGTCCTGGTTTAGTCTCTGGTTTAGTCCTGGTTTAGTCTCTGTTTAGTCCTGGTTTAGTTCCTGGTTTAGTCCTGGTTTAGTCCTGGTTTAGTCTCTGGTTTAGTCCCTGGTTTAGTCCTGGTTTAGTCCTGGTTTAGTCCTGGTTTAGTCCTGGTTTAGTCCTGGTTTAGTCCTGGTTTAGTCCTGGTTAGTCAGTCCTGGTTTAGTCCTGGTTTAGTCCTGGTTTAGTCCTGTCTCAGTCCTGGTTCAGTCCTGGTTTAGTCCTGGTTTAGTCCTGGTTTAGTCCTGGTTTAGTCCTGGTTTAGTCCTGGTTTAGTCCTGGTTTAGTCCTGGTTTAGTCCTGGTTTAGTCCTGGTTTAGTCCTGGTTTAGTCCTGGTTTAGTCCTGGTCTCCCTGGAGACTGGCTCGGTGATATTTTGCTTCGTTCTGTGGTTCTGGATTTTCTACATCCACATAATCCTGAACAAGAAACAGAATTAAACTTAAAATTTTTACAAAACAGAAAGATTTTATTTAGTATTTTTATATTTTAATATTTTTACCGCGTCGTTTTCCATGATGTTCTCGAGCATCCTCACGATGTCGGAGAAGGACGGTCTCAGAGTGTACGGCTCCAGCCAGCAGTCCCTCATCACGTGAAGACTGACCCGCCAGGAAATCAAGAGGAAATCAAATTAAATTAATTAAATTAAATAAAAGTAAATAAAATAAAATAAAAGTAAAGTAAATAAAATAAAATAAAAATAAATGAAAAAAATAAAAAAATAAAAAATGTAATTAAATTAAATTAAATACAATAAAAGTTAATAAAATAAAAATAAAAGTAAATAAAATAAAAGTAAAATAAAAATAAAATAAAAGTAAATAAAATAAAAAGTAAATAAAATAAAAGTAAGTAAGATCAAATAAAAGTAAATAAAATAAAAAGTAAATAAAATAAAATAAAAATAAATGAAATAAAATAAAAATAAAAAAATTTAATTAAATTAAATACAATAAAAGTAAATAAAATAAAATAAAAGTAAATAAATAAATAAAATAAAAAAAGTAAATAAAATAAAAAAAATAAAAGTAAATAAAATAAAAGTAAAATAAAATAAAATAAAAGTAAATAAAATAAAAGTAAGTATGATAAAAAAAAAGTAAATAAAATAAGAAGTAAATGAAATAAAAGTAAATAAAACCAAATAAATGTAAATAAAATAAAAGTAAGTAAGATAAAATAAAAGTAAATAAAATAAAAGTAAGTAAGATAAAATAAAAGTAAATAAAATAAAAATAAGTAAGATAAAATAAAAGTAAATAAAATAAAATAAAAGTAAGTAAGATAAAATAAAAGTAAATAAAATAAAATAAATGTAAATGTGTAAATGTAAAGGTAAAATAATAAATCATCTCACATCTCGGGCCGGCAGCCTTCGGGGTTGGAGTTCTTGTGTCCGATGCAGATGTGATAGACCACGGCCTCGGAGGTCTGCAGGTTCGGGTACGGGAGAGTCCCTGAGAAAGAACCGGAAACATCACACGAGAAGAAATGTGAAAGATTTTTACAGAAACTCTTCCAGTGTTTAGAAAAAAGTTCAGACCAAGAGAAAACCAGAGTTACGTCTGTGTTTTTATTAATTATAGACGACACTGAAAGCACCGAGTGTTCCCTGTCCTGGTTCAGTTCTGGTTGAATCCTGGTTTAATCCTGGTTGAGTCAGGGTTTAGTTCTGGTTTAGTCCTGGTTTAGTTTTGCTTCAGTTCTGGTTTAGCTCTGGTTTAGTCTTGGTTGAGTCCTAGTTGAGTCCTGGTTAATTCGGCTTTACTCCTTGTTTAGTTCTGGTTTAGTCCACATTTAGTCCTGTTTTAATCCTGTTTTAGTACTGTTTTAGTCCTGATTTAGTCCTGATTTAGTTCTGGCTTAGTCCTTGTTTAGTCCTGTTTTAGTTCTGGTTTAGTCCTGGTTTAGTCCAGGTTTAGTCCAAGTTTAGTCCTGGTTTAGACCTGGTTTAGACTGAGTTTAGTCCTGGTTTAGACCTGGTTTAGTCCTGGTTTAGTCCTGGTTTAGACCTGGTTTAGACTGAGTTTAGTCCTGGTTTAGACCTGGTTTAGACCTGGTTTAGTCTTGGTTTAGTCCAGGTTTAGTTCTGGTTTATACCCGGTTCAGTCCTGGTTTAGTAGTGGTTTAGACCTGGTTTAGTCCTGGTTTAGTCCTGGTTTAGTCCTGGTTTAGTCCTGGTTTAGACCTGGTTTAGTCCTGGTTTAGACCTGGTTTAGACCTGGTTTTAGTCCTGGTTTAGTCCTGGTTTAGT